ATTTGGCTTCTGAGCTCTGCTCTTTACCTCTTTGTAGTTCTGTTGTTATTTTAATCATACCGTATGAATCCTGAGCAGCACATAGTGAAAACCTCTTAGATACTATTTTAGCTTTTGAAATAACAGAGAAGGATCATTTCTGATTTGACACCCTCAAAAAGAAACAAGGGTATGTAGTTTCATATTCTGATGTCCCTGTTGAAAGTAGAATGCCCCTTTTCAGACTAAATGCAAACCAGTAGACTTTAGAGAGTTTATTTGGCTTTCATCCAAAATRACACTTTTTTTAAGGACAGTCTTGTAGAGATGTATGACTTGATTAAAATTATTGCTGGAAATATTGTAGCTAAGAATTAAAATAGAATAACTATATTTGATGTCATAGCTTTGAGGCAGATGTGCTTAGCTACCAAGACACAAATAAAAAAGAAGCCCTCAAATATGGAAAACAAACTGTCTKAAGTACTTCTGAAAATCCTGGTAATAATATCGCAATCTAAAGCTTTCTGTATGTTTTAATCCAGGTATGTTATATTGTAATAAAAAACATTCCTTCCTACACTTCTATGCATACCCAGCTCTATAAGGGAAGGTTTTTTGACTGTGGTAATTCTTTCTGTGTTGATTAACGTTTGCACATGGCTTCCCCTGAGCCTTTTCCTCCATCCTCCTGCTCTCAGCCCACTCCACCTCGGTGCATCCACCCCYCGGGAAAAGCAACGATCCAGCACAACAAGTGCCAGGACTAAAGCAGTAGCACAGCTTACTTGCTTTGTGCTWTTTTGTTTGCAAGGGAGAAAATGGGAGTCTTCCCACAAGGGGAGACTTTGTTTTCCTCTTTCTGTTGTCTGTGATCCCCACCTGTTGTATATATGGTAAAAATATCTGGGACTTATAACCCAGCAACAGTACGCAGCTAGAGTCATGTGTGACCGGGTCAAACACACACTCGCTGGAGGGTCATGGCCAGGTTACTAAGTCAAGGCTGGCAAGTCTCCACGATAATGTTTTCTTTCTCTCTCGCTCTTTTTTTTTTTTTTTCTTCTCCCCTTGTCTGTCTTCCAAACAAGAGTTTAAAAAAACCCAAACCCTCATAACAATGCAAACTATTTAAGCATGACAAATTCAAAGAAGTTTTTTATTAAAAAAAAATTGAAGGGGGGGGCGAAGTCAGTGATATTTTGGATTTAATTTTATAGTATAGTTTTATGTGGCACATGAAAGAGAGAAATTTGTATTGAAACAATTGAGACCCACTTTCCCAGTTCCTGGCTCTTTCCTGGAAGATGATTAAAAGCAGACTTTTTTTTCCAGACGAGACATAAAAATTAAATGATCTACAGTATATAGTTATTTTTTCAAATGTTTGGAGGCTTATAAATAACTTCTACAATCAAATGCACACATACAGGCAGCAGAGAATCTGGTTCTAATTACTTGTACTTTAGTTGAACTTTGGCGTTTCCTTTGACTTTCTGCCTAATGTATGTGAGCTGAGTGCCTTGCACTCCTGCAGTGAATTCACAAAAAAAAAAAAAAAAAAAAAAAAAAAAAAAAAAAAAAAAAAAAAAAAAAAAAGAAAAGGCAAAAAATCCAGACTCTTGTTGGTGCCAACAAAAATGAGGGTTAACAGAATGTTTTGACCAAATGCAACACTTTGCTATTCACCCTAATTAGCTGAAATTGCTGCTTCCCACCAGGGACCCTGAGCTCAGTATTCAAAATTCCCTTGAGGCTATCCAGGAAATGCCATTTGCTTTACAACTTTTATTCTTTTAAAACTCAACTGTCCAAAGTGTGCATTAACATGCAAGCTTAATAATCTGAGTTTCTAACAGCACATGAGGCATTTTGCAGTGCCTGCCTGCTTCTAGTTGGTCTCAAAATAAAATACCTTCTCCATCTGTCAACACGGTTTAGCTGGCAGTAAATTAGCTCTCAGAAAGCACGCTGTGCTTTTAAAGATCTTATCTGCTACTTTATCTAACCTTTAGAAAAATTTCAGACATCTTAGGAATTGTGAAGTGACCGATTGTTTGAGAGTCCCTGTGTGCTTAAGCTGCATTCAGGTGTTGGGTGACAGCACCGAGGCTCTGTTGTCTCAGGTGAGCAGGGATCCCGAAGTGTCACATCCCACAGGACAAGAAAGCAGGACACAGAAAGAAGTTGCATTTTTTAAAAATTCTCTCCCCCCCCCCCCCCGAATTCTTCCTAAAATTGTAAGACTACGTTAAAAAGGCTTCTTCTGGAAAAGTCAACTGTCCACCCTCATCCTTTCTTTTTTTTTTGTTGCATGTGTAGACATGCATAGAAGCAAGCAGCTTCTGTTGTCGTGCATCCATTAGCCRTTACAAAAATAACTCTTTGCTGAATATGAATTGCTACGGATGCCTGCACAGGCACTGCATATATTTTCAAGTAAAGAGTTTAAAAAACTAAATCCAAGGAAGAATAGTAAGTCAGAAACTGGACTAAGAGTCAGGCATGTGCAACCTGGGTTCAAGCCTTCTCCAGAAAACTGCATGCCTTGGTGTGATCAAAAGTGAGTGTGCCCAAACTAGGTTTTCTTATAAAAAAACCCCAACCCTCCCCCCACCAAAAAAAACCCAAAAACCAAAAACCAAAAAAAAAAAAAAACCAAAAAAACCAACCAAAAAACAACTGAACCTATCAACCAAAAAAAAACCAACCAAAAACTCTCTAGACAGTTGTTCAGCTCATGCAAGTAATTATATTTAGTAGATTAGGTCCTTTTAGTGGCACATGTATATGGGTGTTTTAGGGAGGATTTTCTGATTTTCATTGGCTCTTTGCTTACTGTRTACCTTTTCAAATTGTCCTGAAACATATTCTCTAGCCATACATTCAACACTTCACTTGCTGAYTCTGTTGTGTATTTATGAACTGAGTTGGTTGCATAATCTCTTCTGGGTATCACTAGGCTCCAGTAGTTTCTACAGTGCTTGACAGACCTCTCTAGTGTACAATACTGTTTGTAGTTGGAACACTACTATTGGATGCTGGTGCTTGTTTAGGATGAAATTATGAATAAACAGAAGTGTATCARTATTATTCCACAAAGGCTGCTTTCCCCAAACTGAAATCACAGAAGGATTGCTGGAGTGCAGTTGTTTTATTGAATGACACAACCTTGTTTTCCCATGGGGAGCCTAAAAACTGCCTTTTAGATGGACCGGGAGAGTTGAATGAGCTAATACAAAACACATTGTCTGCTGGTATTGAAGTTTTAAAGCTAAAATTTTATCATTSCATAGACTCATTGGAAGCCACCATAATTCATGTACAAGCATGAAATAAGGCAAGGAATGTTTGAGGCTTCTCAAGGGCATTTGATGAATCTAACTTTAATTTAGAAGTACTAATAGATTATTGATTCAAGCAGGGTGGCTGTGCAGAGATCAATAACAGAGCACTCTCTGTCTCTCTTAAATACCAAAAATTACTGTTGAAAAGAAATGATCATTCTCATATGAGTTTTCATTAAGAAAAAGCTTCATTAAAGTTTTCTTGGTTCAGTAGGAACACATAGATGGTTGCCAAGTTCAGTTTATTTAATACTGAAAAAGATGAGTATAGCTCTGGAMATTGTCTTAATGTCACAATTCATGGAGCCATGTTATTCTACTTGTTTTACTTTTCTGTTTTTTCACAGCCTCCTTATTGTTAGATATATAAATAAATTGGTCCCATTGGAAAGTTATTTCTTTGCTTAGATCAGAGCCTTTAATACTTGTGCATTTATTTTCTTCTCAAGGAATGTCTGTCCTTGAAGTTGATATTAGCTTAACCCAAGGAAAAATGGCAGAGGGGCCCTTCTGTCACCAGTAATCAGAGGTTGCCTCATGCTCTGTGATGCCCTCTGTGAATTCTGCAACACATGAGATGACAATGAATCATGAGTTTAATACAAATGTATCATCTTTGTAATCTGAAAAATATCATGTACAGTAAATCTTCTCTAAGATTTTTCCATTGAGTAATATTCTTTAGGGCCTGCTGTTAATACTCTGGAGATTTAGCTCTGCTGATAGTGCCTAATATTTCTGGATAGATCTGAGTTCACAGATCCTGTCATTCCTGTATATCTGTTGAAAAGTTAGAGGGATTTATCTGAGAAGCAGCAGACGGCTAGGTGAAACATGAAAATGTATTGCACATCCACAATAAATGTGAGGAATGATGACAGCATATCACAGAAAACTAATGCAGATGTTTTGGAAAGATGTAGTTCACATGCCTTATCTTGCATCGTAGAACTTTCACGTCCTTTCCCTGAAAGGGATAACTGGCTTTTCAACAGACTTAAAACAAATGACCATCTAGAAATATTAAGGCAATAAAGGGATGTGGGGTCATAATATATAAGTAGCTTTTTCTCAACGAGGTTTCCTGATGATACAAGTCGTAAGGCAAGGAAGCGTTGCTGGGTTGTGCTACTTTTAGAGATTTAAAAAAAACAAACAAACAAAAACTTCTTTAGGTAATTTTCACTTCAAGTCTCATGCTTACTCTTTACATATGTCCTGATGTGTTCTGCTGTGCTGCTATGTCAGAATTGTATATTGGAGGTGTTACCTTTTGTAGAAAAAGGCAAGAGATTAAAAAAACTTTCTCAAGATTAGGTACCAATTAGAAGGGTGCATGCCACAGTTTCCCCTTAAAGGCTGATATCCAACCTGCACATGTGGATGCCATACAATTCAACAGGCTAAAACCAGAACACAAGCTCCARGTTTTCCATTTTTGGAGCCTGATAAGGTTCATGCCCTACATCTAAATTATTGGGTACTTTAAAAATGCAGTTTTGAGACTGTAGGATATWGTCCTGCCTTACTTAGTTCCCCTTAAGTTTTACTAGGAAAGACAAATGAGTGTTTATTATGCAAAGAAAGATACGGGTCAGTTTTATAATATGGTTATATACAGCAATTTATTCAAAATTACTATGAATCATTCAATTTTATTTTTTTCTTTTGTAGCAGTTGAAACTCAGAGCACCAGTTCTGAGGAACTTGTTCCGAGCCCTCCTTCACCACTTCCACCCCCTCGTGTTTACAAGCCCTGTTTTGTTTGTCAAGACAAGTCATCTGGATATCACTATGGTGTCAGTGCTTGTGAGGGATGTAAGGTGAGTGCCATCATCTCCCTTGCCTTTTATAGGACTGCATTTCATCTTAGAAGAGGGATAAAGCAATGCAGTTTGGTGTGACTTGATTGTCTTCAAAGACAGCTGTAACTTTCTTGCCTGAATTAATTCTGATTCATGATTTCAGACAAGTAAATTACCATCATTCTTGGAATTAATTCCCTGCATAACTTCTGCCAAATATGTCTTTCAGGGACTTCCTTAAGTACTGACTCACATGAGAATGTGGTCAATGATGTAGACATAATCAAAGAATAAACYGAAAACTTTTTGAGACACTTCACTGTACATCTGTAGGTCAGATATTCCCTGAGATCTCACACGGCCCTTGGATGTTCTTGGCCTTTTTCTGTGTGCTGCTACCTCTCTGTATCCAGGGTGTGGAATTTGGGAACAGATCTGATCATCTGGAAATTTTTGGTGTCATCTCGAGCTACGTAACTAAAATCAAATTGGGAATTTGAGGATTAGCAGGTATGTATTTGCAAAATTTAATCTGTCAGATTTCATTGCTGGCACATCTGCCAGCTGCCTTCCAGTGCTGGGATTGTCAGAGCATGAATTGATGACTGTCCATAGGATRCAGTAATAAAATACACCACTCAAGAGAATATCTGAAGAGGAGATATCCAACAGAGGAGCAATGTCTGCTACACCATGTTTGCGTGGCAATAATTGGAAGTGTGCATAMAGTGAACAGTGTGCACTTTTATGCATGCAGGGAAGAAGGTAGAGTGAAAAATGCTAAAGAAAGATAAGATAGGGCAGATGCTGTCATGGTTAAATTTGTTAGCATATCCTAGTGCAATGATCTTTCCTAACAGTTAAAGAAAAGGCCTATGATTTTCATCCTTCAGCTTAAAATAGAGGTGTAGTGTTTAGTACAGTACTAATGCATGCCGAAAATGTGACAGGTGCTATCTCCATATAAATAAAGMTCTCAGAATAAATTAACAAAAGGCATTTTGCTGGTTTATTTTTGTGAAATGTTACATTTTTCAGATRGTACGTGCTTAGCCATTTTTACTTTATCGTTTTGAACCTTCAACTTGTTCCAGACTAGTGGCTTTTTGTACTTACATAAAATAACATAGTCCTGGGATCGTGTCATTAAACAAAAAAYTAAAGGATTGAAATCTGCTTTGCCTCCCTATTTTATAAATGTAGRTATTGAATTAGTGAWAATAACTTCTTAATCTCACCTCAGKTTTMGAACTTCTTTCTGGTATTGAGGTTTTTCTTGGATGTCCTGTCTGTATTTTTTTTCTTTAGATGCCACAAAACTACCAAAATTTAAGTGTCTGTTAGGAAGAAYTATGGAAAGAATATGTTGTGGCTGATTTCCTTAAGAAGGAAATCTCATCATACTAAAATTCTACCCTACAAGTGGTGATGTCATTTGTTCACCTCTGTTGCCTCTAAGCACAGACATAATTGCAGACTGTGGCAGAAAGGTCACTTGTCCCTAAGAGTTCATTATTTTTGAAAAATAAGCRAAAATACACTGTAGGACTTTCATTGGCCTACTGCAAAGTATTTTCATAAATAATTAAAGCAAGATCACAYTTGTCAAAATACATGAGGAAATCTATCTTGCAATGTGTTAGCCATTAATCAACAACAACAAAAAAAATCACCTTCACTTATTTTCTCATTTGCAAGATGGGTAGCTGCTGTTAAAAGAAGAGAAAAAGATTAGTTACATACAAAATCTGTGAGTCTAGGAGAAATAACAATATTCCAAAGCAGTAACTTGACTGCTTGAGACTGGCAATATTTGTGTTTGTTGATGCTAGCTCTTCAACAGGTTGGACTAGGGTTTTATGGAATCTCTTCCATAGATTGAATCAAATTACTTAGTGAATGCCAGAAAATGGCAAGAACATGATGTGGCTGCTGAATCCATCAGTGGTSCCTTTTGTGGACAATCAGGTACTACATTTGGTGTTGAAAGTTGTCTGAGCTTTCAGGTCAACAAAAGTGGTGAGCTGGATGTCAGCAGGGAGTAGACAGCAGGCTGCASCATTACAGGCCACCTCAGAAACCTGTGTTGCCAGATCACACTCTTTCTCTGAAGARTGTTACCCTCTTCACTTGAGTGCATTTTGACTATTTGGTTTATTTTTCTTTTCCTTTGTCTCTACTTTACACTTGCTTTCACACTGTCATCAGCTGTTGGTCCTATACCTCAAGAAAACTGCTACCTTGAACTTCTGATTTCTACCCATACAGGCTCCTGCCTGCTCTCGAGTCTACTTTCACCCTCTGTTCTCAATGCACCTGTTTTCTCTCCATCCTCCTTCATACAAAAAATAGCCAGTTTGCAAATTTCAATAAGCACTGAGCAAAGAGCACTTCTGCTTGAGGAAGCCTTKTCTGCTGCAGATTTCTGCCTTCCAGTTGATTAACCTAAGTTTGTTTCACTGAAGGCTTCTGCTTGGTATGGAACTGTAGTTTCATGCTGATTCTCTGGTGAATCAAGGGAGCGATAATTACAAGGAAGAATTTGTGTTACAGCCTTTTGCGTAGTTAGGGAACTCAATTTTTCCCCTTCTACCTTGTAGACACATTTCCATGCAATTTCAAAGAGCTCTGTTTTSTTTAAGATTTGTCACTGAAGCTGACCAGCACATTCAGAAGCTGTTGGGATTGGGAAAGACAACCTCATTCCATAAGAAACTAGACTAAAATATCAGCCAATTCCTTTCTTTCTCTTTTCATCTGACCATCTTATAATTTTCTCTTTTTTTCTCTTCTATTTTCCCTGCTTCTTTCTTCACCCAATTTGCAATCTCCATTCTGTAATGTTAAACSCTAATTTCACTCATTTTTCCACCTGCATTTGTGCCTTCCTCTKTTCTGAGGTCCTTTTCTCAAGTCTTTTTGTTTTTTCCTTTCTGACTCATTTACCTTTCACTTTGAACTCCTGGCAGTCTTGTTTCCCAAGGGAAATACAAATGGATAACTCTGCTCACATCATATTTATCTAATTAGAGCTCTGGTCTTTTGTTTTCCTGTGCTGGCTTTCTACTGGTCTTCTAGTTTTGTCTCTGTTCCCTTCTCTTTTGCCTTTCTCCTTTGAGCCTCAATGAAGCTGCTGCTACAGTGATCATTAGCAGTCATTATCTAATGCAAGGAATAGTTTCCTGTCCTCACGGTTTTGGGCTGATGGCTGTCTTTGATTCATCAGGTTTTCTTTTTCCTGGCTTTCAGGACTCTTCAGATTCTCATCCTTTACTTACTGATTTTTCAGTATCTCCTTAAATGGTTCTTTATCCAGTTCCTGATGCAATTCCCCAAGGTTCAGTTCTTTGGTTTTCTATTTTAAAAAGAATCATTTACTGACCTCTTTTATGGTAGACCAGTGGGGAATGTCATGGCAATAKTCTGCTCATAACAGGTGTATTTTTAACTGAGACCCTTCCAGCCTGGAGCCTGYGGAGAGTTGTGGAGGATGACTGTGACCTTGTGATGTTCAATTTGGGAAGCACTGCGCTATAAATTTTATCTTCCCTCTGCTACGAACCCATGGATGATTTCCAAAGTCCCCCTATCTCTGACTTCTCCCCTCCCACCTTTCCCTGGTGTGTTGTCTTGCTTACCTCACTGCTACCTCGAACATAGATTTCATGAAGACAAAATTTTCCATCCTCTCTTTGTGTCATCACCAACTATAATTTCAGTTCTTTCAGACATCATGTCATGATGACACAATTTCTGATCTGAACTATTCTAATTTACCTCATTTTTGCTCCAGAATCTGAGTATCTGTCTTCAGCTGCCTTCAWTGTCAAACTGTTGCTGTGGTCTTCTCACATGGGATTAGATTGGTGCCTTCTCCTGTCCTCCCTTCCTCTTTTGCCCCTCACTGTCATCCTTGGTCATTATTTTTCRGGTACCAGGGAACACCCTCCTAACCTCCTTTGCTGAATACTTTAGGGACTCTGCTTAAGTAAGGTCTCATTCATTACCAGAGTCTTCAGTACTTCTTTCTGCTGTAAGAGGGAGACTGGTTTGTGACTTGTGTTGATATACTAATCATTTAAGGTTTTTAGAGGATGGCCTATTTCATAACAGGCCCTTGTGAACCACAGTGGGAGTTTCAAAGTAATTAAGCATCTCCTTACCCCCCCCCCCCAAAAAAAAAAAAAAAAAAAGTGCTTTTGTGTTTATTTCTGGGTGTTACACAAAACACAAAAGTGTATGTGCCTCATGGTTGGTCTTCCCAGTGTACTTGTATTTTGTAAGAAAAATTCCAGAGACAGTCCATCTTTTTATGTGTAAGACAGTACACTGACAATATTCAGCTTATTTACAACTTTTCCATTTTGTAAACTGTGCAGCATTTCAGAGATGGGTTTTGGAMTCTACTTGTGTTGTTTCATGACCTCAGTTACAGACTTCTGAGAACTTTCTTTTTTTTCCCCCYGTCTCTGGGTGTTGCTAGATAGCAYGCAAACAAATTCCATAGAAAATGAGCAATTTGGATTTATCCAGCTGGTGCAAGTGCTTATAGGGCTGACTGTCACCAAAAGCKCAGCTCTTTGGTCCTGACTTGAGTYGCTGTTGTAGCCGGGTTTGCAGAAAGGGGGACTGAGAGTAGTGGGCTGGATTCCCCACACAATGCCATCATTGTGTGGGTGAGGAGGGGAAGCTGGTGTTCTGGCAGCTTCAGCTGTCTCTGAAAGCCTTGTCTCTTGTTCTGGGCATTTAAAAGACGGCATTCCTCTGCTGACAGTCCTGCCCGGATTACTGGCTTGAATTCGGTGGGCAGCAAAGATGCCTAGAGCAGTTTCATAGGAGAAGACAGCACAGCATATAAGAGGGTAGGTTTACGGTCCAGCAGTTTTGTCTGAATGATGAAGATGACTCTCTGCCTGTTATTGATGCTAACAGACAAAAATGTAGATAAATCTGCTTCAATACTGAGTGATCCCAAGTTGGCTTTTATGATAAAATAAGGATAGCTTTCCTTCCATCAG